TTGACCAGAATGGAACCTGGGATCCTTTAGTTCAAAGTCTGATGCTCCATCTACTGAGCCAAATCAGTCAGGGCAATAATGTGCATCTCTTAAGTTTGCAGTTAGCTGTAACTAACGGAAAAGCCAAGTAACAGTGTGCTACAGATAGTTCCCATCCTTCCATCACAGGGAGTTTGGAAGTAGGAGGTTGCTGGCAATATTCCAGTGGCTCTATGTCTTCAGAACTCTGGGTATCCATCATTACAATTCTCTTGCCCTTTCCCTTAAGTTCTCCTGGCTACCAGAGTCAAAAAGCAGTGGAGTTGAGGAAGGGAGAAGAGAGGAGAAATAGTAACAGAGCTATCTCTGAGTTGTTATTGTTGTTTTTTATTTTTTTAAATAACAAAACCTATTCCAGGTGCTCCTAAAATAGTTTTTTTTTTACTTATACCTTGGCTAGGACATTGCCATATGGACATTTTTAATTGCTGGGGATTTTAGGAAAATAAGTATTTATCCTTTGACCTAGATGGAAAGGAAAGGGAGATAGGAAGTGTGTGTTGTGGAAGCAGGCCAACAATGTGTGAAATATAATAGTTATATGTATGAATTGTTGAACAATAAAGTGTTATCTTCAGAGGCTACTGAAGACTGTTAGCTACATGCATATTCACCACTCCTCTTCAGTGTGGGTTTTTTGCTGGGCACAGTAGGCCAGCTAGGGACTACATGTCTCAGATTCCTTTTGCATCCACATGTAGCCATTGAACTTGTTCTCACTAGTGGGATGTGAGCAGATGTGTTGTGGCATGACTTTTTCACTCTCCCTTTATATCTTCTGCCAGCTGTATGTGCATGATGGAAGAAGCCTGGATCCCCGAGTCACCGTGTGGAGAATAATCTTCAATGGATTAGTAACAATTCTAGTTTATGACCCAGAATTAAATTTCTATTGTATTAATACAGATTACTAAAATTTAGAGATTTATTTGTTATGAGCACTATCATTACTTTATCTAAAGCAATAACACATGATGATATAACCCCAGATTTTTCATTTGTTTTTTTTATTTCTGTTTTTTCTTTGTTCAGTTCTTCCATTTTCTCTATAGAGATTTTTTTTTCCTCATCACTCTCCCTATAATTAGCTGTAACTTTTCACGGTTTCTTAATATGTTGAACAATATTCCTTATAATTCCTTGCTTCTAATTGGCTGTGTGCTAAGAAACCTGACAATTGTGATAGGACTCTGAATGTTACAATATGCTAAGCTAAACATACAAAGTTTATGATGCTATTTTGGCCTATTGTGGGGTCTTCAGTGGCCTTCTGATATAGGATAGTTGCCTAGTAAAGGACCAGTGAATATGGAATTATATGTTAAATTTAGAATCAAGGGTGCAGTATAACATCTTGTCAGAGTGTGTGAATATTGTAATATTTTAAATTATAGAAAAGTGACTATTTTGTTTCTCAGAGCTGGGAAGGAACTTTTGTGAGAGACAGAGTATTAAGAGTCCTATATAAAATACCCATCCCTTTAAGCTATCTATTTACTTTATAATTATTAAAATACCTAAAATAAATATCTAGCCACTCATCATTAAGGATATTATGAAGATTCATATTGCATAATAAATGTTTGTTTTTGAAACCTAATTAAATTTCACAGATGCCAAAAATGTTTCATTCTTTATTAAATTAAACATCTACTACCTCTGTTGAAAACTGGGCTTAGTCTAACTTGCAATGGCTTGATACTGGTGGCAGAAAGTAGTGAGAAACATCATAGACTTTGCAAATAAATCTTGGTCCCAATTTTGCTGTGCATCTTTATAGGATTTACTTAGTTTTTCTGAGCCTCAGTATCCTCATCCATAAAGCTGAGCCTAGATTAATTGAGACATGCAAAACACAATTCAAAACAGCACAGTGGTATTGATAATAATAAATTAAAATTTGCCCATGTTCTTTTTCTTCTCTAGTGTTATAGATAATTAGTAATAAACTAAATGTTCTTGGGGGACAGAATAGTCATTTACACCCTCATTTTTTATACAAATATTTGTGTGGCCAAGTATCTACCTTAATATTTTGTTAATAAATCTATATTAATTAAAAACAGTAGTTTATTTTAATACATTTTATTTCTTTTTTAAATATGTTTTTATTGGTTTTGAGAGAGAGGAGGAGAGTGGGGAAAGAGAGAGATAGAAACATTGATGAGCTGCCTCCTGCATACCTCCTACTGGGGATTGGCCTGCATACCCCTACTGTGCATTGACCCAGGCAAGTGCTCTGACCCAGATGGAACCAGTGACCTCTTGGTGAAAGGTGAGGATTTAAAAAACAAATAAAAACATTTGTCTGATAATTCTAACATCCCTGCTTTCTTGATGTTGGCATCTGTTGGTTCCCTTTTTTCATTTGCTTGATATCAGCCTAGCAGAGACAGGGAGAGACACTTGCTTATTTCTCACTGCCAGGGGCAGGCGGGTGTGTAATTGGGTCAGCCTGAGCATGAGCCCTCACTTGCCCAGGATATCTTTATTTTAAACAGGAATAGTGCTTTTCTTTCTTTTTGTTTAATTGTGCTTTTCCCCAAGTGTTTATAGTGAATATGACAACATATACTTAGTAATCAGAAGAATGATATAAGTTTATTTTTCTATTTTTGTTTCAAACTGAAATTTCTTAATTGAGATTGTTATTATCTCCCTTTATGATAGGCAAAATATTTATAGGCTTTAATTTCAAAGGGGATAAATGTAATTAGCCACCACAATTTACTTTCCATTATTAAGTTTGCTTTGATATTAGAGATCCTGGAAGGTGACTCAACAACAACCACAACAAAGGAAACGGTGACTCCAAGATACATATTAAAAAATAAAAAAAAGGTATTAAAAGAGAAAATACTGTTTTTTAACTAGTATAGATTTATTAACAAAATATAGTGGCCAGGTCAAAAAAGGTGGTAGAATTGGGAAGAGAGAACCTAAGAATCTGAGTGCAATCTAGTTGACTCTAGATATTTAAACTGGTTGAGCCTGTTTCTTCCTCTGTCAGTTTCCTAATTTGTAGACCTCATACTGAGAGCATCAGGGAGACCATACAAACAATAAAGTTGTCAATTGCTGCACACCAAATGTCAAGAGGAGCTCCATTGTTCTACTACTTTATCCTGGGGGCTCCTCAATGCAACTTCCTTGATTGGCAATGGAAAATCTCAAGGATCACATGAGCAGAAACCCACTTTGGATGAAGATAATGTAGACTCTGCCTCATTTCTAGATTGGGCTTATACTTTTAGGCGGATTCCAAAAACTTATTTAGCTCTTCCACATTTTTGACATCAATATATACTTAGGGTCCATGTCATAGGATTTTAATTGAACTCAAGAGACATGGAAAGCACATATTGTTGGCCAGGCAGTTATGAAAAGATTCTAGTTATGAAAAGATGAATTACAATTCAGCCCTTAATCTTATTGCACTAGACAATTGGAATGTTACCAGTACAACAAAACTAATCCTGTTCTGTAAAACAGATAAACGTATGATTTTTTTTTCTTTCAATGCATAATCTCTCCTGCCCAAGAAATCAAGATTTAACATTTTTGGTGCATGATATTTAAGAAAGAAAACTGTACCAAATTAAAGGAAATTACTCAAATAGAATCCATAGGAAGTCAAATCATTAACAATCTCTGCATATGATTGCAAGCCTTTTAAGAAACAGGTAATTAGCCGAAACTGGTTTGGCTCAATGGATAGAGCATTGGCCTGCAGACTGAAAGGTCCCAGGTTCGATTCCGGTCAAGGGCATGTGCCTTGGTTGCAGGGCACATCCCTAGTAGGGGGGTGTGCAAGAGGCAGCTGATCAATGATTCTCTCTCATCGATGTTTCTAACTCTCTATCCCTCTCTCTTCCTCTCTGTAAAAAATCAATAAAATATATCTTTTTAAAAAGAAAAAGAAACAGGTAATTACAAAAATCTTGGTACTCCGGGCAACTATCATATGTGCTTATAATGTGTCCCCCAAAATGTATACACACTTTAACAGCTGATAGCTTTTTGAAAACAAAATGTATTTTAATAAACACTTCCTTTGCAAGTATTCAAAGAGTGTGTATACATTTTTTTTGAGGGGACACTCTATATATCATTATATATGTTTAATTTAATTCAAAACATCTGACACCTGTAGGGAGAAACTGCTATGTGCTTGCCTCCCTACACAGACATTTGCTCTGGGCATGTCCTGGTCTTTACTAAGATGCAATGTTATAAAACTCTAGGTATTTACATGGAAAGGAAATAAAACATTAAGAAGAATTTTCTTTTTCCATTTCATGGAGGGAAGACCAAAGGGCCATTTTAAGGCTCCAGAAGTGCTATATAAATCCCCAAGAAAAGGTAGTAATGTATTAAACAAAGAATAACACCAACCACAAGATAATACTTAAAAAAAAAAAAAAAAAAGAATCATAGAACCAGGGAGAAAATACACTTCCTGGCTTGGAACCTCTTAAAAAGTTCTGAGTCAGGAAACCTCCCGCACCAGGGCGGGAATGTCTTTGGCTCCCCAGTGGCTCCCTGCTAAGTTCCCCTCAAGTTCTACCCTCCTTCTCCCTTCCATTCTCCGCCTCAGTCCCAAACTTTGGAGGAGGATGCCAGCCTCTATTCCTGAGATTGCCGGACACAATCAGACTCTCTGAGGCATGTTTGTTTTAAGTGCCCCTGCACCCAAGACAGGCCACATTTGCAGGCAAAGCCAAGGGATTTCCAAGGACGCCTGAAAGCTCATCTTACACACCGCGGGCCAAGCCCGCAGAGGAACAATAGCGAATGCCGCCAAGAGCACGTTCCTTTGCTCAGAGTGGTTCGCGGGTGGCGCAGGGGTCCGCGCGCGGAGGCTGGGGCCCAGAGCCAGAACCCCAAAAAGGAGCGCTGCCCCTTTAAAAGGCCGCGCATCTCGGGTCCGGCCTTCCTCCGGGGGCTCCAGCTGTGATTGACGCTGGGCGGCGAGAGGAGGCGCCTGGCGCTAACAAAAGTCCGGCCCGCGGGCGAGCTGCGCCGGGCCGCGCGTCTCTGCTGCTGGGTCGGGGCACCCGCAACAAGTGGCCGCCGCGCCCATCCCCGGGGAAGTGGTGGGCGTGCCAGGGCGCCGGGAAGAGGCGGGCGATCCGGGGAGTCCGGCCACCCGTGCGGCTCAGCGCCCGCCGCGGGGGGATCGGGGCGGGCGGATGGGGACCCGGCGGCGGCGGCGCGGCGAGCCTCTGGGCGGCCCCGGGGCGCGGGCTCTCCGCCGCGTTGCGCCCGCCGGCCGCGATCGCGGATTCTAAGAGCGGCGGCGGCTGCCCCCGGCCCCACCCGGAACCATTGGGGGTGCCAGGAGGGGACCGAGCGCCCCCTCCCATCGGAGGAGTGCAGGGGCCGCTCGCAGCCGGACCTCGGCCCCGGAGCGCGGGGTATGCGCGGCTAACGGTCCCGGCGGACGGGCTTTCCTCGGGCGGAGCGCGCGGGCGGTGCGCCCCAGCGATGGAGTGTCCCGGGAGGCGGCGGGCATGACGGCGGCAGGATGGGCGCGAACAATGGCAAACAGTACGGCAGTGAGGGTGAGTGGGCCGCCCGTCCTCGCACTCCCGGATCGCGCCCCCCTTCCTTTCTCCTCGCCCGCGGCTCGGGGAAGGAAGGTCCTCGCCCGCCCGCAGCGGTGGCGCACACCCACTGGGCACTCTGTCACCTTCCCTTTGGCACCGAGTGCTCAGGCGCCCCGAGGATGCTTTCCCACCGGGGGTGGGGGAAGAAAGAGTGTCCTTTTAAGCAACTTCCCAGATTGTCTTTGGGACGGCTCAAGTTGCAAATGCCTAGGTGTTTCTGAATGCCTTTGCCTCAACTTTCCCACCCTGGGTGTCTGGGATTTAGGATGATGGTTTGGCAGACGGTGGAGACCTGGAGACCGTTTTTTTCAAAGAAATAACGAAGTGAAAACTTTCTCAGGCCTTTGTGCTCCAGTCCGCTCTCCAGTAGCAGGAAAAACTCCTGGAAAAAAAAAAAAAAAAAAAAAAAGTAGTTAAGTTTCCATTCTCTACTCCCGGACCCTGGGTGACAGCTCCGTGAAACTGACCACCTCTGGGCCCTTTCGGGAGGCGAGGAGTGGCGGGGGGCTTTGTCTGATTCTCTCGGGCTCTAGCCGGGCAAAGGACCATCTGTTCCGTGGGGCTGGAAACTGCACAGAAATATTGCCTGTCAAGTGGGAGCTTGGAAGTTGGAGAAACTTTAAACTCCACCTCCTCCTAAAATGATGATGGATGTGTGGGTTGGCTTCCTCCTCGCCCCTCCTCCCTCTCTTTCGCATAAAACTGGAGTGTTGTCACCCCATTGATTAACAGCATGCTCCCGATAGGCGCATGGCAGAGGCATTTTCATAGTTCAAAAGTTAGGAAGGTTGGTCTCTCGTGAACTTGGCTAGAGGGGCGGGGAAGAGCCGGGTCGGTTTTACAGCCCGCCTCCAGAGGAAGGGCCTTTACGGACTCCATCCAGAGCCTGCAGATGGTAGGAATGCAGAAAGGCTAGTCAGCCTGGTGGTGTTTGGGAAACTCCTATCATCCTCCTGGAAACTTTGTGGATGTGACCCTATTCCTTCTCAGTAGCTTTGTGAGATTACAGCAGAGGCCAATCAGAAACACACGCCAAAACACCATCGCCACAAGAGCCTTTTGTTTCAATCATTCTCTCCCAGATCAGCATGTTTTGAATTCCACATACATGTGAAATACATATATTTCCTTATTCTGGGCAGTTATGTGAGAGATTCTTTTTGGTGACAGTTTCATCTTTAGAAAGTTAAAAGGTGGTCTTTTTAGATGGCAGATTTGAAAGTATGCCAGGAAAGATGATTGGAGAATCTTAGCCACACCCCCAAAGTTTTTAGAGTTCATGTTTTAAAAGCTTGTCAAAAAATGGAAGACGGAGCGTCCTTATTCCGAGTTATTAAAAAGTGTTCAGGGAGTGAAGTGTATGCTTGTCAGTTCTGGGTGTGCATACGTTATGCTACTTGCATACTATGGGCGGGAAGGACAGCCTAAGAAGTATGCCGAGTTGCTGCTGCTCTGGGTTCTTGAACAAAACCCCTGCACACTCCCCCTAATCCTCTGCAACTTGTCCGCATATCCCAGCGTTCTCATATTGTACAGTGTGTGGTGGGTGACGACTTCCTGTCTGAACAGCAGAGTTTTCAACCCTTGGGGAGAGCAAAGGAGAGACAGAGAACTAATGTTCTCCAGCTGTTATCCGTAAATGCTACCTCTGCATTTTCACTTCAGCTGAAGTGAAATTTTACTGGGATCAGATTTAGGACGTTTTACAGGAAAAACCTCTGGCTCAGCTGATTCCAGGAGACCAATGGGAAGGTTGGGGAGGTTAACAATTTTGGCTGGAGAGGACATATTGTGTTTATTTGCATCAACTCTGCTTAAATGCATGGAGAGTCCTCTAATAGGTGAGGTGGAAATAGAGATACAGAATTAACAAGGATTTCAATCTTTTCTCCCCCACTGACACCTGGTCTCTCCTAAATAGGGTTTTAACACAGGTGGGGTATGGTCAATTGTGTCCCTCTGTGTTAATGGAAGGTAACATTTATGCAGATAAGCCTTCTGGAATTTTCTGCCATCTTTCTGTTCTAAACAATAAAATCTCAAAGCAAGTGAAAGCACCCCCTAGACATCTCTATAGACATCGAAGGCAGAAGCAAGACAGTTTTAGTAGATTTAGTGCAATTTAGGCATGGTGTATTTCAAACATTAAGGGGGAAATAACCAATAAAAGCATATCCATAGAATGCATTGAGATCTCTCGACTCTAATACACTGATGTTTGTATATTCTTTAAACATTTGCAATTTAAGTATATATTTTACAGTTGACACCACCATGTAAATGGGAGCCCCCCGTAAATTTTACAACAGGGTTGAGTTATTACAATATTTAAAACTTCAGCATTTCTTTTGCAACCTACTTTCTCTTGTTCCTGGAAAACACCTTTTTTTTTTTTTTTTTTTTTTTAAATTAAAACAACAGAAAACCTGTCCCCAGACTTACTTTAGCAGGTGAAATGGGGCAGAGACTCGCTGCTTAGTGTAATCCAGCGGCCTCTGTACCACCAGGATGCTTGTCAGAAGTATAGAATCTTGGGTTCCTCCTGGAACTACTGAATCATTTGTCACATGCACATTGGAGTTCGGGGAAATTCCTGTGCAGAGCAGAGCATTGACTTGGGAGTCTGGAAATTTGATTCCAGCTTCAACTTAGCTACTGTGACCTTGCTTAATTCCCCCAAAACTTGGGGTCTTTCTCTTCTAGAGTGAGAAGAGAGATTCCTTTTGGCCTGATTTGTCACAGCCTAATAATTCTTGAGCATGTACAATAGTTATTAATTTTATTTTGCTCTTAAGGGACAAATTTAATAGTGGAGATTAGCCTTGTGGGAGACATGTTATAATAAATAGCGAAGTGAAGACTATGATTGCTTGGAAATCAGTTAATGCCTCTCTTGCTATTGTCATTCTGTTTATCTTGCATCTCTGTCTTCCTGTCATTCTGTTTATCCTTAATCTCTGTCTTCCTCACTCATTGTTACCCCCTTTCTTAACTTAATCAGTTCTAAAATCCCTGTAAATCAACAATAAGTGTTTCCCAAGTATTTTGTTTTCCTAAATACTTAGTGAACATTTAGGTTAATGATTTAATTTGCAACCTTTAGGTAGACTGGGATTTTGCTCCAGGAAAAGCTTACCTTCTAATTTCTGATCATTAGCTTTCTAGAAACATAAGCCAGGTCATGATGGGTATGTTCTTGTAAATTCTTTAACAGAGGGCTGTTTCCCCCCTGTATCTCTTTCCATAAAGTGTGATTTCAGCTCCTGTGTAGAAGTGCACAGAATGAGCGGTGGTGGGTGGTTCAAAGCCATCAGAACCATAAGCTTTGACTCCCGTTCAGCCAAATAAACTAAACTCTGTTCAAGTAGGAAGACAGAAGCTGCCTTCCCTGCCTTTTAAGGTTTCTGAGCCTTACCCTCACTTACTCTTTGGTTTCATTGTTATGTTTACCCTACTCCAGCAGGTCTGAGACAGTAACCCTTACACTCTTAAGAGCTCCTTTGCAAAATCCTGTGTGTTATTGAATTGCAGCTGATGAGGCCACAGTGATGGGGTGTAACCCTTGGCAGCCCTGCTGCTGCTCTCTGAAGATCCTTAGGTTCTTTTTCCCAGTCACAGATCTGTGACCTCAGGTATGAGGAGAGTCAGTTGCCTGAGCACATAAATCATCACAAATCCATCATGACCCTGGGGAACGTATTTTGAAATAATAATAACAATGGCAACTAACATTTATCAAAACCTTATTATGGCCAAGCATGATCCTAAGTCCTTGACATGCATTGACTCATATAAGCCTCAGGTGGATCCTATGGGGAAGGCACTCCTAAGGTCCTTATTTTATGGATGAGGAAACACAGTGCAGAGAGGATGGTCATTTCCCAGGTCCTCCAGCTAGTGTAGGTGGAATTGGAACTCAGGGCCATGTCATTCTAAGCCAGAATCCTTTATTCATTCATTCAACTAATGCATGTTGCTTTATTTCCTACTATGTGCCAGAACTCTTCTAGTTTCTTGGGATATATCATTAACTAGCTAATGATCCGGTCCTGTCAGTCTTCTCTTCCTGTGTGTGTGTGTGTGTGTGTGTGTGTGTGTGTGTGTGTGTGTGTAGGGAGGGAAAATGGAATGATTAACATGCGTACACACCCATAGGATAATTCAGTAAATCTTGGGATGCATTCAAAGTAGCTAAATTTTCTGAATAAAGAAAATGATCAGATTAAGATTATTCAAAGCTGGGAAGAAGGTGTTGCAATTTTAATTTAGATAGATCACCCGGGTGGGCCTTATTGAAAACTTGGTATGTAGACCAAGACGTAGAAGAAGTGAAGGGCTGACCTTGGAGGATTCATGGAGCATGTTGACTGTTACTTTGAGCCACGGTGTTATACCGAGGTGAATTCTCTGTGCTGGAGAGCATAAATCATCATTGTATGCAAGGGTTGTGTCATCAGTCTTCCATAGTCAGCTGCTATGGGACAAAGTCAGTCTGGCCACTGAGCATAATTTTTTGCCTAGAGTCTTTGCAAATACGTTTTATCCAATTATGAGACATTTTGTGACTGTTTTTGGGGTCAAGAGGGGAGGCCTAGGACATGCTCTTCTTGCTATGAAAGGTGGCTGTTGCTTGATTTATTTGATATATAAGGGAACCTCCAAAGGTTTGTTAGTTCTTAGCTAGAAGTATGTCTTTGTCTTTTGTTTCCAGTAAATAAATTTATTCTGATAAAAATCAGAAGATAAGGCATATTGATTCCACTGTTCCATTTAAATCATAGTGTTAGCACAGCTAACAATACTATCTTTGATCTGACAATGAGAAGATATTTTCAGAGATTTGGGGAATTCTTTTGCCGGTTTAAAATAAGAGAAAGAAAAGAGAGGTAACTTTTCTTTGTCCCCTTGGGAATTAACTCACAAAAAAACTTTGTTTTAACTCCTTCTTCCCTTTG